GAACTCACCAAACAGGGCAAACAACTAATCACAGGAGAAAAAGAGGCATACAACAGCAGTCTTTCAATTATTCTTTTGTATACAGCAGCAAAATGTTTTCATCATCATACACTACAAATGGACTTCTCCTGCACCCTATGGGGCATGATTCTATCTGGTTTTACAAGGGTGAATATCAAGGAAATAGCAGTAGCTCAGTCCCACAAGTGACACCTGGCCACCAGTAAGCATCATGGACACTGTCTACATCTACCACATACTAGAACTTTGTGCGACATCCCATTCCCAAACTGTTAGAAGTGCTGGTCATATATTTGCTATTCCAGTATTCATGTTATGTTTTATTCTTAGTAATTCTTTACTATCATGAAAAGTTTTTTTTAGTTGATATTTTTGTATATATTAACCTATTCAAATACTGTGTGAGTACTCTGAATTGATCACAGATTTGTACGTATGATGCACAACATTCTGGTCTCTTAGTTGGACTCATAATTTAATTTTAATTTTTCAATATTGTTTCAAAATATTTAGTTTTGTAGTGATTAATATTTAATTAATTTCCTGAATATTGTTTAATTTTAATCTTTGCTTTATGATTTATACTGTATCTTTGACTTATAATCTATTTATAAATCATGGTATGATATTTTTTCCTAGTATCAGAAATTTTAAGAAGTATATTTCCATTGACTTTAAAAAAAAAAAAAGATGGGGCTGGTGAGATGGCTCAGTGGTCTAAAGCACCTACTTAGAACAAGATTAGCAAAGCACAGGGACCACGGTTCAATCCCCCAGCACCACATGCCAGCCAGGGACGCCCCCTGGTGGGCTGAGCTGCCCCCCCACACACACACACATAAATAAAAAACTTAAAAAAAAAAGAAAGAAAGAAAGAAAAGGAAGCTAAAGCTCTGTGAAGTCCACATGCCATGGGGCTGGTGAGAGGCAGAGGTAGAGGCATGGAACCCAGGTCTTCCTGTTTCTTTTCACTGTAGCCACTTCCCTGACTCATAAGCATTATAATGGGGTTCACTACTACAAACCTGCCTTTGTCTGTAGCTCTAACTAGATTTAATACAGTCTAAATTCCATGTAGCTCTCCTGGGAAGTCTCTGAAACCTCTTTCCTCAGTCCACCATCCAGGTAGCAAGTGCTGTGGTTAAGTCTGGAGATGAACAATAAACCAGACCTGCATGTCTTTGCCATCACAGAGATTGTACCCTATAGCAAACTTCTGTAGAAAATCAAATAGTTAATGTTTCAGGCTTTTCAGATAATAGGGGCTTTGTTTCAATTACTCAACTCTGTCATTATTGCTTAAAAGACAGCTACCTAATACATCAATGAATGGGTGTGGCAGTGTTCCAATAAAACTTTATTTATAAAAATACACCGCGGGCCAGATTTGACCCACTAGTGTCTACTGGTTTACTGACCGTTACTCTTAGAAAAGCTCAGAAAAGATGTCAACCAATTAGTAAAACATTGTGTTAAGTTTTCTAACTGAGCTCATACAATGCAACTTGAGGCAGACTGGGAAAGAGCAAGGATAGCCTCCAGAAGGGACGACATTCTCAAAGCAACCTGGAGCATGCATCAAGATAAACCTAATGTAATTTTCCATCCTTTTTAACTATTCTACTCATGTTTTCCATTAATCACACTTCTCACAAGCAATTCCTTTTTCTACATTTATCAGTCTCATCTTTTTATCAAAATAATTCAAATCCTCTTCCTTTCCTCTCACAAGTACATCAGCTTTTGTCTTCCGTCTGTCACATTCTAGATTTTACTCAGTCCTTCCACAGTCTTGTAAACACCTGACAAAAGTGAAGTTGGGTTTAAACAGATAAATTTATGGTATGTTAATCATACTTTAAAAAGTTACCAAACAAACAAATAAAGCCAGCAGTCCATCTCCTGGGAGGCCTCAGGATGAATGGATTCTGATGAAGCCAGCATGGCCCAGGTCTCAAAAAATCTAACCTGATCCTAATCCTAAAAGCTTTTCAGATACCTTAAGGAGCATGAATCTACAGACAAAACTGAAGTATAATACAGTAGCAAGATATCATGAGACAGAGTTGCGGAGATGGCAGTGCTATGGTTTGTGTCTAGCTCTTCCACCACAGCCTCATGCAGTCACGGGCCAGGCTTCTAGAGCTTGTGATTGATTCATGGTCCAGTGCTGGGATTCTGGGTGTGAGTGCTGCACCCACTCTGGCACAGGCAGCCTACGTACAATATAAGGGAGGGAAACGGGCTTGCTCCCTCACTTTTCCCTTTTGCTCCTGCTGCTTCTGCTGTTTGCCACCACCCTGAACTGTTGCCCTCTGCCATGTGCCACTCTCCCTGGAGCCAGCCGAGTATAGACTAAAACCTCCACAAACCATGAGCTAAATAAACCTCTCCTTTTTAAGTTTGGGCATCAGGTATTTTGTCTCAGCAATAAGAGAAAAGTAAGACAAATAGCAAAATTAAATCCGTCAAGACTTTAGCTATTGGAATTGGGTACAAAATATTAAAACAGCATATTTAATATTTTGACCAAAAAAATTGAGTGTATGGGCAAGAAACTATAAAAAAGACTAAGTAAATGTGAAAAAAAAATTAAATTTCTACAAATGTACTGAGGGGATGGGTTAAGAAACAATTTAAACACACAACTCAAAAGAATTAGTGATAGTATTTGGAAGGTATAGATTAAGTAACAGGTGAATGTTCTTGAGGAGACAATTGGAAAACTAGAGGTTGCAGGAAAAGAATCAGGCACTAATGTGAACACACAAACAACTAGAATAGGTGCATGAGATGTGCCATGTCCAGTGCCAGGAAGATATGCAAAAGAGAACGGGGAAAAGGAAGAAATTGAAGAGTTTAAGGTGGGGATTTTTCCAGTATTGCTTGGTAAAGGAATGCAAACCTTCAGCCATAAAATCAGAAGCCCACTCCCAGTTGAAGAATTCCCTGCTGTAGGTGGCCAAGATACAGTGACTTTTTTCCCACTTTTTTGAGAAGTGATTGAATTCTGAAGGCGCTATGGTACAGTATTTTTATGCCTTTATAGTAGTGTTTCAAAGCAGGAACATCATGAAAACCATTCTGTCCCATTTTCAATTTCTTCATTCACCAAACATATGAGTTCTTTCCATAACATTACTTTGTTGTTTTGAGTAAAAATAGAAACACACTTAAGTCTCATGTTCAGGGTCACATTGAAATCTCTAGATCCCCTCAGTTGTGTTCTATTCAATAATGACCATCTGTATAAAGAAAGTTGTACACTAACATCAACCAGCATGATCAGATCATTAAGGACAGAAGAAAAGAAAGTTTACTGAAAATGAAATTTGAAAGAAACCAATCTAACCATACCTTTCCACGCCTTCAAATAAAACTAGGGTTGGCACATACTACGGCAATACAGATGTGCCCCACTTCACCTTACAGAAATGTAAGAGTAAGCACAGCTAACCTAAAAAATCATAAGCAAGCACTGTGCTGAGAATGCAAGGAGGAGAAGAAGACAGGAATTATTTTTACATCCAATTCAATGAACTGCCTTTTGCCTCTGTAACTGAAACAGGTCGTTTATTTTCCCTATATGCATCAATGAATCCTATACCTGCTGCGTTTATTACCAGGATAATACCAAAAAGTTTCATAAGCCAAAATAAATAAGTAAAATCAATTGTATCTCACTTTCACATAGAAACATAAACTTCATGCTACAATTTGTCTTATTGTTTAGAGTTACTGAAATCTTTTTTCCAAATAAAGAAAAAAAAAAAACTTGTACACAACAAAACAATACCCATGGAGAAATGTTTCCTGGATTAGCTAATTTGGTCTGTTCCCTGTGGAAAGCTGTGAAGCCACCAGCTACCACATAGCTTGGGCCCTGGAGGATCTAAATTAAACATTTGCATTAATATTACCAGTAAGTTTATTTAAAATGTAGATTCCTGAGCTTAACTACAACAATTATAATTAAGCAGCTTTGAAAAGAGGCCCAGAATTCTGCCAGTTTTTTTTTTTAGCTGGTATCACAGGTAACATGGGCAGGTAGTCTGGAATATTTCTCACAAGATTCTGTTTAAGAAGAAACAGACCCATAAGCCCTCTCTTTTCTATGAGCTTAGAATCCCAATCAGTGCTAGCTCAACTGTAGAACTGATCTGATTTGCATGAGTCTGGTTAGTATGGAGCGCCAGTATGACACTGATCTAGCTCCTTAATCAGAGGGACTGATTAGAGCCATCAGGATTTCCAGGGATAAAGTTCACTGATATCTATTACGAGAGAATCTTTAATAATTGATTCAAGAGCACCATATGTTTAAGGAAATTCTTCACAAATGTCTATCTACTCCTTTTTTCCAAAAGGAGCTGAGTCTCACCTTTTTGTAGTCATTATTGTGAATGACCATTTTCCCTTGCCTTCAACTTCAGAATCCGTTTAAACCAGGAGAAAGAATAGTTTGGACAAAACAGGAGCTTGTGAGGTTTTTTTTATTTAACTGGAAGAGTAGGTGGTCAATATGTTTACCTGATTGTATAGCAGCCAATCAGACACCAAGGTCTTTTAAAAAATCACATAGAGTGTCCCAAGCCAGGAAGACAGAAAAGATATGTCAACATTTTTGTTAAAAATACAATCAAATTTGCTTACTTGCAATTCCTTAAAGTACTGCTTAGCAGTTATTCCCTTAATTTAGAGAACATTGCAAGTAACAGATCCTAATTATTATTCAATCATAAGACTTTGCCACTTTCATTTAATATGTGAATCATACACATTTGCTCTCACACAAAGTCAATCAGAAGGGAAAAACATGAAATAGATTTAATTTAACATCTACTTGCCAACACGGAATTCCCCTGTCTGCTGAGCATCACACACCATGCTCATGCCAAAGAATTAATTACATGAACACAGACACACTCACAAAAAAAACATACACACACACACACATATATATCTTTTTGTCTCTCCAGAACTTTCGATGACTTTGCAAAACCAGTCAACATTGCAGCACAAAGACACCCAGAGTCACGCTGGGATGCTGTGGCAGAATCACATGACCCCACGGGATTCATTCCATCCTGAAAATTCCCAAACAGCAAACAACAGAGGTAAATGGAATCAAATATCAGAGCCAGTCTGAGAGAGACCTGAAACTCAGTCTTCACAAAATCTCTAGGGAAAGTTGCCTGCTGTGGCAAGGGATAAAGGAAACAGAAAATGACAGCAAGATTTCAAACAACAATTCAGGCTTTGGTCTTCTCTGGCCTCTTTGTTGTCCTGGAGGCAGCAACGATAGCATGCAGAAATGAAGAAGGTGAAGCCGTGGATTGGTAGGTACATGGAATGGAAGGATTGGTGTATGCAAACAGAAAGCCAGAGGACAGCAGCAGACTGGCTGGCTGTGAGGTCCCTCACAAGAACTTTCACTTTGCTTCATCCCTTTAAAAAACTGAAAGCATGCCAGTGGGCTATGTGCTCAGACAGGTGGGTTTCTGAATGGGAATGTTTGCCACAGAGGAGGGCTGAGCAGCTCCTCGGGACATGATACTGTCCTCAGCAGGGGACAGCTGGTAGCCACAGAAGTGGGGATGAGCTCACCACTTTGGTCTGGTGGCAATGTTCTTTAATTACATGTGGCTTTTCTAACAGAACTTTTCAGCACATTTTTCAAGACTGAGGAGGGAGAGAAGGCAAGTGACTTTTTTCTGTAACTGGAGAACGCTTTTTCCACGAGGACAAGGGGGACGTGATCCCATGCAGCACTGTTTGGTTAACCTTCGTTTTTCAGGTAGCACAAGCAGAGGTTGGAATAGGTAGAAAGTCACTGGCCTCTTCTATCAAAGAAACTAAGTACAATGCTACATGAAAGTTAGAGATTTTCCTAAAGCTCTGATTCCTTTTTCACTCTTCAATTAGGGTGCTCAGGTTTGCCATTATAATTAACACCAAGCTTTGTATAAACTTCAGGCTAAAGAACACAGGTAATTCACTGAGTCAGTCTTCAGAGTTTCTAGCAGACCTTGTCCTGAGTTTTGAGGATCCAAATAAAACACACACACACACACACACACACACACACACACACACTATAGTCAAGGAGCTCCCAGATATATGATGAGGCCATGAGGAGGACATTGAGAAGCATAGATCCAAAAAACCTTCTTTAAAGATAGTGTTTTGAGCTAAGTTTTAAGAAAAATAATAAAATAGCTATGAAAAAGGAAATGCAAGGGCATCTCGGACTGATCAAGGAGATCTGCAGTTGTGCAGGGGCCAGGAACAACATGGAAAATTTGGACAGGCGAGGAGTACTTTGGTATTGTAGGAGCTTCCAAGGTACCTAGGGAAATAACAGGAGGTGAGGCTAGAAAAGTAGCTGAGCACCAGGAGGTGAGGTGAAGACTTGAACTTGACTTCGAAAGGGAGCTACTGAAGGGTCTCAAGTGAGAATCAAGTAAGGTCAGATTTGCATCTTAGGAAGCCCATGATGTGCACGTAAAAGGATGGATTGAAGGGGACCCACTTGGAGCCAGGGACAGCAATCAGACTTCTGCAGTACTACAAGTGAGAAGGTACACAGACCTGAGCTAGAGGGGTAGCAGTGGAAACAGAAAGAAAGGAATACTGTGAGAACACCTCACAGTGCGTAGACTGCTAAGAGTAAAGGGAAGTTAAGGAAAACTGCTAGGCTTCTGAGGCTGTATGAATGTTTTCTAATAGCATGGGATGAGCTGATGTGGAGGAAAATACTATAAAATTGTGGACTTAAAGGTTTCAGAAACAAATTTTTGTTTAGGTTTATCTGGATCTACACATTGCAGTCTGGGCTAGAAATAGCATGAAATTGTAGATAGTCATACAGGAAACATATTTAACATTTCAATTAATGTTATCAATTAATGAGCAGTGGCACATTGCAGTCCACAAATGCTGCAGTGGTGTGTGTGGAGGACAACCAGAATGAATGCCCTGAAAGAAGCCCATTTGTCTCCATTTTGGCTAAGACTTGTTCTAATTCCATATACAAAGGACAAAGCTGGCTAGGATAATACTCTATCCCCTCAATTGACTTTAAGCAATATAAATGGGTCTGGCTTATGTGCTCATGTGTATGTAGCCTCTGAAGGAATGCAACAGGTCCCTGTGGCCCTATTACTGAGCACAAGCCAGCCAAGAGATGCTGCACTGTTAGCTGGGACTGAACCTCAAATCCCAGAGCAGAAGGGCCAGTCGTCAAAACGAGGCCACTGACCAAAAAAACACAAGATACTTCCTCTATCTGTGTTATGCAGATTGCTCCAAACTTAGAGGCTACCTGTTACCAGAATCCCATACTCCTGCACATCTTTCTCTACACTATGTGGAGGTGCTACTGTGACTCCTACCTAGCCCAGCTCACAGCACTCACATACTTCACAGAATTCTCACAGGCACTCAACCCTGAGCCACTGCTCTCTTCACAAATTAACAAAACCCAGGTTCAGCCCTTGGACATGGCCTTCATTCCATCTGGCCACTGTTCTGAAAGGACTTAGGACCCCTTACCTCTCCAAAGCTACAGATATGTCTTTGTGTCTTTATTCTCTCCATGGGTTGCACTAGAAGTGGAAGATTGGAATTCACTTAACTAGAATTTCATTAACTTTTCTCTACACTGATGGACCACCAAATTGTGACTAATGTAAAATATACTTTTGCCACAGCTGAATATCCAGCAGGAAACATAAGCAACTTGCTACTTAGTTGCTACCATTCACTAAGCGAGTCAAAAAGGAGAGGCTGTCAAGCTGGGACAAAGCCTGTTTCTTCCTCATGTCAGAGCTTAGCCCTGTGAGTTACAAAATGTAAGCAGAGAAGGAAAGTCCACTTGAATAGAAGTTTTTGCTCCCACAAGAACAAGAGTGAGTGCACTTCTTGGGGGAAGAGCATTATTAGGTAACAGTGTGAGTGTTACAATGTTCAGTTCACTGTGAGTGCTTAAGGGCTAGTTATGGGGGTTCTTGCTACTAGAAAATGTTTGGCCAGACAAGCAATTATCAGCTGGGAGTGATTTTAACCTCAGGGTACTTGTGAAAAAGCCTAGAGACATTTTTGATTGTAACACCTTGGGAATGCCACTGACATCTAATAGAGGCCAAAGTTCCTATGATACGCAGAACAGCTTCCACAAGAATGAATGGCCTATCTCAACAGATGGGTGGAGCATATTGAGAAGCTCTGGGATAAGTGATCTAAGACCACCTGAATACTCTGTGAGCCCACCCACCTGTGCTTCCTGTGAGACATCCAAAGGAGAAACAATAGAAAAGAAAACAAAGGGTCTATGTAGTTAGTTGGTCTTGGATCCAAATCCTCATTGCATTCTGATAAGGAACATGCTTAGACCAGCCAGAAGGTTAAGAGAGCCCCCAGCTCCCTGTACTCTACACACAAATTTTATGCCCAGTTAGCCACTGCAAAGAGATGAAAATGCCAAGCATTTATGGCAGAAGAGAATGAAAGATTTCTCCAGTTCAGGTCTCAGGCTTGGCCTTCTCCCCCTTGCAGCCATAAGGACTACAGAAACACTACATGAGGACTTCCACCTCATGGACGTCAGGCACCAGGCTAGCTAATGTCTTAAACCATTTCTTGTCAGAGTCATATTTTGTTTCCTGGGGAGGAGCAAGAAAAGCGAATACAAAGAGACAGAAATCTTGAGCAAATCCCCTTCCTTAACCGTCTATTGTCAACAAAAATGAAAGATATACTTCAGTGCTTGCCATGGGGACAGCCTCCAGGGAAACAGTTGATAAATGATCGTAATTCACACTTACTTACTTTTTCAGGTTTATTTTCTACAAGTTACCTAAAAGGCAGGATAAGGATAGTAGAGAGACCGGACTAGAATACCTTTACTTAGACTCCACAATGAGAAACTGGAGGAGGAGTGGACAACTAATCAATGCCACCGAGAGTGCCTTGGGGAGGACTTTACAACAGCTCTATGAAGCCTGTGCTTCCCAGGTAGGTTACACTTCACTATTCGAGTTGTAGAAATGTGCATAAAACAGAATCTAACCATCCAGAAAGCAATTTTGGAAGACCTTTTCCTACTCACCCACCCAATATTCTCCCCCAGCCCCATCCCAGAAACTCGCAGCAAATAAGCTTACAACTAGCCCAGGACAACAAACTGAATCAACACAGGTAAGACCTTTGGAAACATGGCATCATATTCTGCAATATTGCAAGACTGTTGGTTCACTCGACAACAGCCTCACCTCCAGTGAGGTCACTGGGCAATGTACAAACTACTTCGCATCAAAGTCCTCTGGCTGCCAAAACCTCTGGCAATTCACTTAGTATTTGCTAGCTCATCCATCAGCTAGAAATAGGGAGAAACGACCTTCCCTCCTAAAAGGCAGGGTAGAACTGAGGTCAGGATGCCGTGAGTCATGGGATGTTTATGTCATGGTGTTTGTGAGTAGTGTAAATTCAAGTGGAGTTCCAGTGGGTCTTCCTTGAACTCATTTTCAAAATGGTAAATTGGTACCTAAGGCTGCAGTTTCCAGGACCTAGAACTAACTTGTCTGAATGAAGCTTAACCTGGCTATCCAGACTCTTCAGGCAGTGCACTAACCAACCAGAGACAAAGGTTGAGCAGACCTACTGGCTCAACACGGGCAGCCTCCCAACGCTGCAGGCTCCATCTGTTGAACAGTGACTGCTTTCCAACCTGGGGTAATGAGCAAAATCAAGCAATAATTAACATCCAGTTACACTCATCCATGTGATTCCTAACAATAATTTACAGAGGAGCAAATGTATAAAATGATGCTGTCCCCATAAAGTGCTGGGCTTTCACATATGACAAATAATTGAATGTTCACTCCAAGACCGTTTTAGCCTCCAGCGCTGCTGCATATGTGTATCTGAATATTTACTCAAAATGAGCAGGAAGCTGTCTCTGTGTGTGCTAATGCTCATTTTATTCACCTGCCAGTAAGAGCGCCCTTCAGAGTGAAATTACAAAGTTAAAATGACTTTGTAAACTGTTTGAAGGCATGTGATATGCCAAAGTATTGTTTGAGGTGCTTTTAAAAATTATTTAATCTCAACAGAATAACCCTGTTTTGAATACGCAGACCATTATGAAAACTGCCTGCAGCTGCTTCTGTTTTCCAGCTCTAGGAACTCAGACCAGAAGCATAAACCATTAGAGAGAAAATAAATGCCTAAAATGTTGCTTTCTCTACTGCAGAACTGCTAGGGCACCAAGGAAAAAAAGTAACGTTGTCAAGGCTGTGTCATTCACCTGAGTTGATGCACATTGTTGGTGGGTCGGCAGAAACCAGTAATTATCTTAGGAGGTGCAAACGTAGACCTGGAGCCTAGGAGAGAGAAACAGCAAACTGCTTTCCAAAATTTAAACAAACAAAATTTAAAAAGGTGGAAAAGGCAGAAAATTAAAAACTGTGAAGAACAGAGAAAAATTAGAAGACTGAGTTAGGGACATTATGATGTAAAATTACTCAGTATTTATTTTATTTTATCTCTTATTTACTTATTTAGTGCGGGGTCTTGCTAAGCACTCAGTTCAGACTCAGTAGCAATCCTCCTGTCTCAGCCTCCCCAGTGCTGGGATTACAGGAATGAGTCAACAGGCCCAGTTTCGGGGGCCAGCATGGCATGTGGTACTGGGGATAGAACCCTGGTCTTTGCACTCGCCTGGCAGGCATTTAGACTGCTGAGTGATCTCCCCAATCCCTACTCAAGTGTTTCATTTTTTTCTTTTCTTTTTTTTTCCTTTCTTTCTATTATTATTATTTTTTTTTATTTTTTTTTATTTTTTTGGTACAGGGTCTCACTATGCTGCTTAGACTCCTAGAGATTCTCCTGTTTTCAACCTCCCCAGCAGCTGGGATTACAGGCATGCGCCACCACTCTGGGACTCCACTGCTAGCTTAGAGCGCCTCAGGGGCGAAGCCAGCATGGCACGTGGTACTGGGGATCTTACCCAAGTCCCTGCACTTGCCTAAGCAGGAGCTTAGTCCGCTGAGCTATCTCACCGGCCCTTACTCAAGTGTTTCTTACCTTAAAAAGAACAACAACCAAAAAAAAAAAAAAAAATTAAAAGAAAAAAACAAAAACCTGTTCATGCAATCCTTTGACCATTTGGTTCAGGGAAGAAAATGACAGAAAAAGACCTGGTTTCTATGTGGGACATCTAGGTGAGACTGAGTGTTCTTAGGACTGGAACTCTTGTGTCATAAGACTCATGGCCATGAAAACATAACTCTCCCAGTTCCTGGCCTGGAATTGAATTTATAAAAGTAGAATGCAAGGTCAGACTAACTAATTTAGAATTTCAAATGTCAAGGTTACAAAAGTGAGTAGCTAGGTTACATCGCACTTGCTCCCCTTCCTTTGCTTTTCCAAGTAAGAACCCCCCATGCAACAAAGTAACACTGATCAAACTATGCGGAAGTTGCCTATGTTTCCTGATGTATTTCCTGTTAGACTAGGTTTAGAGATGTGTCCATGTTTTTCCTACATTCTATAGTCAAAACATTATTTGAAACATGTGTTAAAGAAATACAACTATCCAAAGAAACACCTGTGTCTGCCTATTTTAAGTCAGTAATCACTTTCCCTTATCAATAAATAGTCTCTTTTCTTTAATTTAATTTTGGCTGCTTCACTCCAGGTTAAAAATTTTAAAAATTCACCTATTATAAGAATAAATTTCTTCATCAAATCTTCCCAAAGTCTCTCTACTTTGTACCCCCAAAACACACAAATAATCTCACTACCACCTTCAATGTCACTTCACAGAATAACTGTCAAAGTGCTCCAGGGAAGGATGGTCAAAATGCTACTCTGTATGAAAAAGGATGATAAGAAAACAGCAAACTTTTCTGTCTGTGCCTGAGCACAGTGGCCAAGAACGCTGCACAGACTAGGTTGTGCATTTTTAAAATGCTCTTAGATAATGTCAAATAACTGCAAGAAAGTCATAACTGGCCGTCATCCTAGGGAAAAGGGGTTTTGTTTTGTTTTTAAGAAGATGGGTATCTTTTCCTGTTTTCATTATGTTACTGAGGTTTTTTTTTGTTATTATCAACGTTATTGGCTTCAGTAAAATTCAGTACATTATGACATCAATGAAATGGAACCACCTAGAACAAATACAAACACTTTTCCAAAACACACTAGCAAATTAATAGTCTTCTTTTAACTCAGGCATTTAGCCTTAGCAGAGGAAATCCAATATCACACAGTAAATTTCACCACTTTCTCTAAATAGAAAATATCAATTTAAAAAGGTAAATTGACACTGAGGAATGGATTGAAGCAAAAGCCCTCCCATATCAGGGAGGAAGGGGGACAGATAATGAGGAATCCTGATTAAATTAAAAGCCAAGAGCTGGCAGTGGAGCCCAAAGTGGGCAGAGGAAACCAGATGCCGACAGCCCACTCTGCGCTGTGCCTACGTTAATGGAAACGACCCAAGTGTAATGCTTGGCTGGTTGTTGCCATCCCATTTTTCTGAACAAATAATTCCATGCTCTTTTATCCTAGGCTGGTTGCTTAACCATAAATTGTATTTCAAAGCAAACAAGAGAAATAGTAATATTACTCTCACATAGAAAATACATAGTCTTTCTGTCATGTGAAGCAAAAGCACACATGGCTGAGAATGGTCTTCCTCCCCAGCCCACCTTGGTCTTGTGGAACAGGATTTGTGCTGGTGAGGAAGCTTCCCATTAGGAGAATGGGCATCTTTGCATGGGTAGTAATGAAAGCGCTGTAGTGTAGGCTGGGTGGCTGGTAGAAATATTGTCTTTCAAGTAGATCTGTGCTATGCTAACCCTAGTATATTCCTGCAGAGTAACGACACAGCCTATCTACTCTACAATGATGGAGGCCCTAAATCTGTGGGCTACAGCAGAAACTTTGGACACACTAAAGGTAGGATGATGGCTCTTTCCTGTTGGAAGTCAATAATCTAATCTTGAGTATCCTCATATTCCACACTAAAAAGATAGCTTTTGTTTTTAAGGGTTGCATGTTAGCTTATTGAAATGTCTGATTTCTACACTAGTTTATAAAATAATTACATAATTTAATTTGGCAATACACTGCTCAGAAATCCTATATTTTTTATATTTTTACATGTGTTTTAGAGAAAAAAATCCAGGTCTTGTCCACTGAGAATACCAGATCATTTATATCTATACATGTATAAACACACACAAATATAGGTAACTGTACAATATACCAGCAATTCTATATTACATATATATGTATATGTATATGTATACATGAAAAATATGCATATATACATTTTTAGCTAGATTTATTGAGCTAAAAAATACATCAAGTAAAATTCACTCAGTTCCATTTCAAATAAATATTTCTGAAAAGTATTTGAAAATATTTGTTCATATGATAATAATCTGTGTTATAGATTTATTCCCATATTACTGTATGTAGCAATTTTGTTAGAGTAATTTTTAGTTATTCTTCTATTTATAAACTATGTGTATACATATATGTATACAGAAAAACTCAAAGTTCAGGTAAGCAAAAAAATCTGTATTTTTAATACTTGTTTGATAAGCATGCTTAATCCCTTCTACTTTAAAAAATACTTATTTTAGAGCATTTTATAGGACTAGTATAGTGATTGCTTTTCAACTTAGTATGCCACGAGCAGATTTTTAGAGCAGCAGAAGTTCTTTCTGAAGGTCTGAGCTGAAATGCTTGAGAGACAAGCAGGGAACACCAACAAGCAGATAGGCTACACTGCAGGTAACTGGAGGCCCATACGGGGTCAGAAAGGGGCAGTTACTTTGCACTTTGCTTTATACATATATAATTTTTCAGGAGATGCTGAACACTAGTGTTTGTGGAAAATCTCTGAAGTGTTTGAATGTTCACCATAAATTCAAAGTTCTGAAGGCATCCTGCAAGCCTTGTAAAGTATATCTGTGTGCTGAGTTTGGCCCTCAAGTTGCCAATCTGTAGGCTCTGACTGAGAAGATAATTTAGAATGGCTGTTGAAGGTCATAAGCATTGAAAGCTTTTGCTTTAGTCAAGTTGTCCTCCTAATGGCCCTATTTACACAGAACCCAACAATTTCTATAATATACCACATTCTCCAACCTCTCCTCCAGCAACCTCTGTCCACCGCTCCTACTCTGCCCTGTTATTGCTGCAAAGCTTTAAGAAAAATGAAATGGGGTTTGATGTCAAGTTCGGGCGTTCTCTTTGCCAACAGCTACCCTAGGTCTGAGACTTCATACCAGGAAGTCAGAGTTTTATCACAACAGCACATTCATCTGGGCAGAGGGGAGCACCTGAAGGTCATCCAGCTCTGTTAGGCAACAGAACTTTCAACAATTTCCTTTCTGACGTGGGTATTGATTCTATCTGTACCAAAAGAGCAATAGTGTGCTTTAGGGGGAAAAATAACTAGCAGGCCACTTGGCTTCCCCTCTAACAAGAAGGCAAACATGAGTGAATTTTGTATTTGCATGTTCTTAGGCAAACTGGAAAGTCTAGCTGCCACACCAGACTTATCCCGATACAGTTACAGTCAGAAACGCCCATTGGACAAGGGTATTTCTGCCAGGTCACAAGATGATGAAAGTCTTTGTCTTTTTTTCTCTCGGGCTTTCATGGTAGTAAGCTCAAGAGACTTGTCTAAACCTAATTAACAAGGATACTTTAGCATGGCTTCCTTTTTTCTCTCTGTCTTTTTTCAGGCCTGTAGAATTTGGTGTTCCTTGTTTAATAAATGAGTATCAATTTCCCAAACCAAAGTACTATAGGTACATTTCTTTATTTGACAGTCTCTCTTTTAACTGTTTTTTTTTTAAATTAGGCTTTTGAAAAAAATAGCATGGCTATTTAGCAATGAAGACACTGTCTGAAGCATGCCAGATGACTGTATAGCATAACAAAGTCAAATTCCAATTTCACAAATTCACATTCTGCAAAAACAGAAGCTTCCTTGTAGCTTCAACATAAAGTTCCTCTTCGCGCTTCTCGGCATGGCTGCCCTGGCTCCCCCTTTTGTGGTTGTCTTAGTATCAGTAATGGGATATCGTGATGTCCGCATGTGTTTGAAATTTTTGCAAAGTGGCGCTCAATCATTATGATAATCAGCCTCCAAAATTGCACTAAAGCATAAACAGGCTTAAATGTTGTAGCTCTGAGCTCCTATTTTAAAAGATGCTTTGGGGCTGGAGAGATGGCTTAGTGGTCTAAAGCACCTACTTAGAACAAGCTTAGCAAAGCATCAGGGACCGCGGTTCAATCCCCCAGCACCACATGCCAGCCAGCCCCGCCCCCTGGTGGGCTGAGCTGGCCACACACACACACACCACACACACTCACTCTCTCTCTCTCTCTCTCTCTCTCTCTCTCTCTCTCTGTCTCTCTCTCTCTCTCAAATAAATAAAAAAATAAAATAAAATAAAAAAATAAAAGATGCTTTGTTCTTCTATTTCACCTGTGCTAACCGTGTCTTTGGTAGGCGCACTGCTGTGGAACAGAGTCCAGGGATTCTGGGTGATTCATTCTGTTCCCCGATTTCCTCCAATTGCTGAAGAAGGCTATGATTATCCAGCCACAGGGAGACGGAATGGACAGAGTGGCATCTGTGTAACTTTCAAATACAACCAGTATGAAACAATAGGTAACATGGGAGGGCATGAAAAGGACATAGCAATGTTGAGAAAGGGGCTGGGAAATGTATTAATGAATGTGTCATTTCATTTGTTTATTTGTAGACCCTCTGCTAGCTAGATTCTAGGAAGTTGGGGGCATTGGTTGTTTGGTACGGGGGATCGAACTCAGGATCTTACACTTGTTAGGCAAGAGTTATGCCACTGAGCTATCTCCCCAGCCCTGGTACCTAGATTTTAATACTGACTCTCCCTTGGCAAACTTACTTACTGAGCCTGGGTTCCTCCTGATCCAATGGCTACATTATAGAAATTGATCAGGCAGAAGCAGTAACTGCAAAAGAATTCAAGAAACAGGCCAGTAACAAAAATTAGTGAAACAGAGAAATCTTACATGGCACTGGGGACAATAATAAACTAGGGTATTGACTTTCTCTGGATGCTTTAAAAGGCCTCAGGGGAGTGTAGTGTGTTATGGCTCTACAGAAATACATACCTACTGATTACAGATCTCCCCATTTTTCATGAGGAACCAGAAACCTAGGGGGTGTGTATGTGAGAGTAAAATTCTGATATTTTAAATACAGGCTCAATTTTTTTTTTTAATTTCTGTAGACCAAATGTTGCCTATATGCTGCCAACATGACACTTCTGAGAGAGATACATTTCTTTTAAGATCTTAAGCTCAAATATACAAAAATACTTATATTTGGGAAACCATGAGTGGGAGGAAGAAAAGTAGGAATATTGTTTTACCAATCTTTTTTGCACCAAAAAAGTTGCTAAACAGTGGTCAAAACTAACTTTCCTCCAGCTATAAGAGGCTTATAAAATGTTTCTCATAAAATCTCCAACTTATGACAAGGGTCACAAGCCTGTCACCTGAGTCAAGCCCTATTGAGTTCATGTAACAAGCAGAGAACGAACAGCAGAGATAAGGTGTGTGTGTTGATGAGTTGATTATTTTTGAAACTAGATGATCTGTACAAGAAGTTCTCTACTTTTATATATGTACTTACAGAATAAAAAAAACATGTGGCCTCCAGGATCACATTGTTTGAGTTTGAATGTTAACTCCACCAGTTATAAGTTTTACAACCAAGAGCATGTGGCATAAAGTCTTAGTTAATTCATCTGTAAAATAAGGTTAATGATACAATAGAACTTGCCTAATAAATGGCTATGAGGATTAAACAAATAAAGACTGTAAAACTCACGGAACAATGTCTGAAACATAGAAATGATTCAATAGGCATCAATTAAGCATTTTGGTGTCAAATAGCTTAACCAAAAGCCATAGCTTTTTAAAAAATGGAAGGCCTTTACTTGATAGTGGGTTTTTGTTTGTTTGGTTGGTTGGTTGGTTTTGGGGTGTTTTTGTTTTTTTGGGTTTTTTTGCAGAACTAGGGATTGAACTCAGGCCCTTGTGCTTACCCGGCAAGCACTTATTCTATGGAGCCATCTCCCTGGCCCCTGATCGTGTTTTGTTTTATCTGTAAGATGTATAATATCAATAAGCATTTTCATTTGTGTCTAAATTCTCAACTTTACTGTTTATTGATTCAGATTCTCAGCTCTTGGTCTGCAACCCAAATATCTACAGCTGTTCTATCCCAGCCACCTTTCACCAGGAGCTCGTTCACATGCCCCAGCTGTGCACCAGGTTCCGCCCATCTAAGATCCCAGTCCGGTACCTCACCACACTTCAGTCAGCCCAGGGACAAACCTTCCTCCATTTTGCAAAATCTGATTCATTTCTTGACGGTATGAAAAACCATCATAAAACAATAGGCTCTATACTGCTGTTAGATTCCCTAAGAATTACGTAGAAAATTATTGTTCAAGAGAAACAATGTAGAAAAGAAGGGAGGAAAGAGGGGGGAAATGGGAAAAGGAAAATCAGGAGGAAAAGCAGGGATCAGTTCATCTGCCGCTCCACTTGGATAACAGGTTTGCTAATCCATCAAAGAGCTATCTCACAAAAAAATGCCATGGACTACTCAGTCTTCAGCTTCTGCTGGACACGGGGGGCCAGATGGCCACCTCTTCTTCTACCCCTCAAGCAGCTATTTTGAGCCTTGTCAAGTCCTTTATACAGCTCTTACCTTCACAGACAGATAAAGCAAAGGTCACTGAGGAGACCCCACACCAAACTGCACACCTTTCCGACATTGTCATCTGTCTTCACTACTTTTTTCTGGCTGCCCCTCCATCCCAACAGGGGCAACACACCCTCTGCCCTGTAGAACCCACTCTACCCTCAAACTACTGTGATGGGTCTGCTTGATCCTCTCTGCCTGTTTTCCTTTGAGTTTCCCATCCTACACATTCCTTCCTCATAATCCTGAAAACCCTCCCTCAAGTCTAAATTACCTATAACTCGATGTTTCCTTTTTTTTTTAACCTCAGAGTACTTTTTGAAAACCTCATCAAGGTCTTCATTTGCTTGGTACTCCTCCACTGGAGACTGGCTTCCATCTATAAAGACCAGCCCTCCCCATCACCAATAGTTGCTTTAGGTGACCTCACTGTCCTCATTTATTTGCTTTCTTCTTCCTTGCATATAATTTGCCGAATGCCTACTATTTGCCAAGCCCTATTTCAGTCACTAGAAATGCAAAAGTTAACAGGATAGAGACAGTCAACTATGTCATTTGTTACTGCTATGCTTGTGACGTCCACCTATAGGGAGTAAGTGGTGATTTCCATTCCTGAGGATATGTTCAGGGACTTCGCTAAGTATAAGTACAAATCTCACTCTCTTTTTCCTTCCACGCCTTAGATATCTTTGCAGCCTGGATAGCTCAACAGTTGAAAACACACTTTCTAACAGAAACTTGGCAGCGAAAGAGACAAGAGCTTCCTTCAAACTGCTCCCTTCCTTACCACGTCTACAATATCAAAGCCATTAAGGTATCTCGACAGTCTTACTTCAGCTCTTACCAGGACCATGCGAAATGGGGTATTTCGCAAAAAGGCACGAAAGATCACTGGACATGCATTGGAGACCTAAATCGGAGCCCACACCAAGCCTTCAGAAGTGGGGGATTTATTTGTACCCAGAACAGGAATATTTATCAAGCATTTCAAAAATTAGTTTTGTATTATGAGGACTGTAACTAAAGTTGGTGAAAGGATGCATGTGCTATCAATGAAACATTTATATTGGGTCTAATATCATTAGAGACATTCTTTTTGTATGAAAAACTTCTATATACACTCAACATACCACTAACTAAAGCAGCTTTTCCTTATTTACCATTTTATGTTCTAATTAGCGAAAATGCCTCTACTTTGAAATTACGTGTTATGAACATAACCATTATATGAGCACAAAGGTAATAAGAGAAAAAATGTCTTTTTCAGACTAGTCAACTCCAGTTGTTCCTAAATTGACTGTCCATTTGGTACATTAACTTTCTTTTTTTTTTTCACAAAGATATTCCTAATTCTTTTCCCTATCCTTTTCTGAAGAAAAAAACCAGCACTCTCCCTGTACTTCTGACCTATTTGGTCACATTACTCTTACAGTACTTTTTCACTGGCTTATAGTTCAGTCTTGTTATTCTCACAGGTACCACTTACTAATTGTATACTACTAGACCACTCTTGAATTCTCTGACCCCTGTTTTTTATTTCCTTTTCTTTTCTTTCTTTCTTTCTTTTTTTTTTTTGTATTTTAGGGAAGGGTCTACAGGGTGTTCAAGGTCTCACTACTAGATGGAACTTGTAGTGATCTACCTGTTTACAGCCTCCCAAAAGCTGGGATTACAGGCGTGTGCCACCACCATGCTTAGTCTCAATTGCCATCTCAGCACACCATGGAGAGCAGGGCCAGCACGGCAGCCCTGGGGATCGAACTCCAAGCCCCTGCGCCTACTTGCAGGCACTTTAATCCACTGAATTATTTGGCCAGCCCCACCCCTGTTTTTTTAAATCTATGATATGGTCAAGTAAATATCTAGATATGGTCAAGAACTAACACATATTATGAAACATGGTTAACATTAAAAGTCGGGATGAAATTTGAATTGAACCCTGCCCATTCAGCAAAAAGAGACAAAATCATGTTTCAAAAATGAGTAACATTTGTCCAAAAAATTTATAGTCAGATTAAGAGAAAAAAAATGTGTAACTAAACCTTTCAATCTGGAGGAAATAAAGAAATGTAAAGAAAGCAAACACAAATCTCACAATTTTAGTTTCAATGTTTTTTATGCTGGAGTTCTAATCACTAAACATAATTATTACATTAATGAAAAATGTATAAAAAATTAATTACATAATAAATTTGAGATATAGTTTCCAAATTCAAGATTACAATTTAACAAAAGCAAACACAATAATTAGAGGTACTATTTATTGAGCATTTACTATGCCAGAATATATTTAGCCCACACAACAATTCTGAGGCTTAAAGAACTTCAACAATTTGCTTAGTATTATAGAGGTCTGTTTTTCTTCTAAAGTGAGGCTTTTAACTTCTATTCCAAGAGAAAATAAAAAGAAATGAGGCCACAAGATAATAGCTATCTAGGATATTAATACCAAAAAAGTTCATGGCACCTAATGATTCAATTACAAGCAGAGAAAAAACTTTTCCTGTCAGAAATAAGTATAAGCAATAGGCATGTTGAATGCTATGTAGCTAACTTACATGATTGAAAATATAAAGGGACCCCCCTCAAAAAAATGTTTGGCTGCTCAGAAAATTTATAAATTAAAATAATCTTAATAAAACAAATTATTAGAGAAAAATCAAATGCAAGATGCTAACCTCTAAGATAAAGTAGCCCAAAACTTAATTCAAAGATATAGAGAAGAATGAATAGCAAGAGTGAGGGAACTGTGATGAGCTACAATTGCACAATAAATTGGAAAGTCCTTCCCCAGCTGGTAAGTGTAGATCTTCTAAAAAAAAGTGGCTGCATTCCAAATTCATCAAAAGAATGTGAAGACAAAGAAGACAATCAAAATCAGATTCCATAGAAGGCAGAGTGCAGACAGAAGAAAAGGAAGGCATTGGCCCAACGGGAAAAGTACAACAAGGGCTTGGTTCCTGCTGAAGGGGAGAGGGCAGGTGTTTAGCCCTCCTTTAGAGGAATTGAACAGTCCTCTTTATTCAGCGATACTAAATTCTGGAGCTAGAAAGAAAGACTACATCTTGGAGATTGTTGTTGTCTACAGAGCCACAATAAAATAAAGAGAATAATGTTACTTTCCTTTCTCAAGGGGTCATTTATGACATGGGTCATAAATGATTCTCAGAGTCTCACAGTGTTGGGTGTTTCACTCAGCTAGAATATGGATTATAGAAAAACACTTCCTCAAGTGGGTGCTCATGACTGTGACTCAGTGGTACTGATCCTTGTAGGGTGACGGTGAAGACTTCAGAGAATCATATCACTGAAAGAACGCTGAAGCACTTAAGAATATAGAAGATGTTTTTATTAATTGTTGTGGGTAAAAGAGAAAGATTTGGGGATATGTGAATGAATAAAAAATTCTAAACAATTGCTTAAAATCCTGGAATGAAAGACTTGTGTTTCAGATGAGAATATATTGGTACCAAACAGTGAAAGATTGTGTTTGGCTAGCAACTACTTTACGTGTTTATAAAGAAATGAAATTAAAAACAGAAATAGACTGATGGTCCTAATTATAGTATAGGATGAAAGGAATGCCATGATTCCTGCTCGACCATCACACCTCTCTAGACAAGCTCTTGTTCACTGTCTATTGGCATCAAGGAACCATTCCTCTGTAGCTCCACATGACTAGACCAAGAATGGGATTGTGACACCAAAGACAAGCCACAGGCCAAGCTAAAGGCAATCAGGGAACTTAAAGCAGGTGTACTGGACTGAGTCTGGTTTGATCACTTGATCTGGAAGATCATGTCTTGGCACCAACGTCACCATTTTCTGCTGTGTTTATGCTAAACCATAAAAATGCTGGACTTTAGAACCTGGTGAATGGTGCAGAAACACTTGAAGAAGCACAGAGAGAGTGTTAGTAATTCTCAGCCGTCCCAATTTTAGTTCCTCGTGGAACCCAGCCATTCTTCTTCATTCCGTGTTCTACAACATGCCCCTCTATCTCCCATCAAATGGCTTTTTCTTAGTTTAAGTTACCCCAAATAGGTTCTTGTTTCTCACAAGCAAACAATTCTTGTCTAAACCACATAGAAACAAGAATGTCATTTATTCATGTGGTGTCAAGTCATTTCATTTGAAGTTATAATTGAAATATGGGTCATAAATGATTCTCAGAGTCTCACAATGTTGGGTGTTTCACATCAGCATAGAGTATGGATTATAGAAAAAGTAAACCTGAGATTAGAAAATAGGATGGAAAAATACACTTTCACAGGACATTCAAGGAAGAATTTGGGGTAATGAAGGAAGAAGGATAGGACTGCAAATATTCAGACATTTAGTAGAGATCTCATTCAATTAAATTAACTCTTGATTGACTTTTGGCTTAATCTACTGGCAACTTCATCTCACAAGGAGTAGATGTAAGGACAGAGGAATTTCAACTCTGAGTCTGTCTTACAAACAAGGAAGATTTCTTTTGGGGGAGAGGGAATAAAAATAATGGTTCCTGAGGAGAAAATGATACCTGGATGATGATCTGGGGGAAAAAAGCTGAATATTGCCTACATTTAGAAGGTCTGAGATTGAATTACAAAGGAAAATATAGTTGAATGGCTCCTGAAGAAGTTAAAATTAAAATCTGATTCTGATTTCTCCACAAGTAAGAGAGAAAGGCTCTAGAAAATGCACTGTTGCTACACCGCCTGTTTTCCTGCAAGCTCAAAAATGACTGAAGTGTGTATAAGTTAGGGAGAAAATGGCCAATAAACAAAGAAGAATTAAAAAAGGCATGAAACTCTATACAGAGATACATGAAGGTTAAAATCTCAATAGCCATTGTTTACAAAACCTGCTGATGAATAATACAATACGTTGCATAGTTATCATTGGATCAGGAGCTAATTATAATTTGTAAATGGCAAAAATAAATCTTTGTCTCTTTTTTCTTCTCAGTGAAGATGAATAATTTCACAATAAGAAAGTAGAAAAAATAATTAAATGAAAATCTCTACAAAGTAATCTTGAGAGCCCAAAATTTCCTACAATGAGATTATGCTTACAGGTTCCATAAATGACAGTGAAAATTACTGAGAGAACAATGATCTTTGAAGAAATATATACCAGATAAATAAATGTCATTTTAATTTTTAAAATTAGATGGAAGATATAGCCTCAAATACATTCCCTAGCATGGGCCCTCAGTAGATCTTTGAAGGACTAGACTGAAAGTATTTAAAACAAAGAACTAGACAGTTTGCATATGTCAGCACAACCAAAACTGTCTATGAATCAAGCATCTATATCTCATTACCATTTCTGACAAGAGTTAAAAGACTAGAGGGTTCTAAAACAGTTGTAGGTATAACAGAAGTGGGCAACAGCAAAACAAGATCTTCCTGGATACCTTTATGGGCAACAGTATAATCTTGAATGAATGGGAGTACAGTTCAGTGAATTTGTGCATTATTTAAATGGTGGCATAGTAAATTTGTGACAATTTGGGAGGAACTTCTCAGTGTCACACTAAAGATATACCCACTTTTCTCCAACTGAGTGCATTAAACATACTCTGTGCCAGGCACAATAATGAGCAGAAGGAGCAATCAGTAATACAGTGTCTGCCCTTCTAAATCTTCCAGTGGACCTTTAATCCTCTTCCAAACACATTTCTGTAGTACTAGGGGTTAAACCCAGGAACTTCACACTGTGCTACATTCTCAGCCGATCTTATTTTTACTTTGACATGGGGTTTTGCTAAGTAGCTAAGTTACCAGGATAAACTCAAATTTGTGATCATCCTGCCTCCACCTCCCAGAGTTCTGAGATCATAGAAAAAAACAGGTTCAGATGATTGCTATATCTTGGTTCTTAAGTGTTCCTCAAATGTCCCTTTGGTAAAGGCTTGGTCCCAAGAGTGGCTCTACTGCAAGACTGTATAACATTTCAGAGATGGGGCATAATGGGACATCTTCAGGTCACTGGAGACATCCCCGTGATAGTGACTGCAGAATCTCAATCCATTCCTCCTCTTCTTGCTTCCTGGCCCTAAGGTGAGCAATTTTTCCTGCTACCTACTCCTGCCATCACATGGCACCTTGCCATAGGTCCAAAAGCAGCATAGGCCAATGTATTGTGGTCTGAAATTGGACTCTCTAGAATAAGGAGACAGAATAAGCTTGTTCTCCTTGTAAGTTGATTGTTCTGGGTATTTATTCTAGTTATGAAGAGTTAACATAATGACTTCAATAAGTATTTGAAAAATACATGTATTAAATCTGTGTATGACAAACAAGTAAGAGGACTAGCAGGAGTGGAAGATGATGAAATTGCCTTCCTAGGAAATCCTGAAGTGTATGTATAACAGGGTAAATCAAACAATATGAAATACAATAAAGATAGATGATTTGATCCAAAGCAAAACAATCATCATAACAGAAGTATGGGCTGAAGGGGAATATACTTTATCAGCAAACAATGCAGAAAATAATCCAGAGATTTTGGCAGAAAACTCAACACGATCATACAATGTAAGTGGCTAAAAAATATAAAATGAAAAAATAAAAAAGCTAATGTCAT